ATCACGACCTGACCGTCCCTTAGCTGAGGGTGATCTCTGGGGCCAGACTGCCTAGTTCTGGTCTAGGTTGGACAACCGAGGATATTCCCTACCACTCAGACCTCACTGTCCTCATCTTTATAAAGGGACACCTACTTCAGCTCTGTGAAGGTTACGAGAGGATCAGCTATCTCCATGGGGTCTGTGCCCTGTGGTGACACTGTGTGAAGGCATCTTATGGTGTAAAAGATGTCAAGCTAGTACTAGAGGTAGAAACAACTCTTGACTAAGGTCATCTGCTGTTGTCTTGACTCTTTACCCACACCCACTCACCCTTTCCGAGCCCTGGACGCTGACTTCCTGTCCATCCTCCTTGTCTGTTCCAGCCAGGTCTCTCTTTGATTGACATTAGCTTTGTGCTTGTTTTAAAGGAATTTCTCCTTTCCCGCTTTGACTTTGATATTCCTGAGAGCTTGGCCAAGCTCTGGGCATTTGTCCTGTGCTGAGGGCTGGGTACCAGAAGGCAGTGCCTGGGAACTGCCAGTTCCCTGCATCAGCACTAGGAGTGTGTCTGGTAAAGTGCTGGGTCCTAAGCTTGAGGGAGAGAAGGCTCGACTGCCTTGTAACCTCCACCTGCCTCATGGGCCTTCTCAGGCTTCCTAGAGAGCTTACCTCACTCTCACTATCCAAAGATCCAAGGCTGGATCTTTATTCCCTAGCACTTGCCACACAGCTGGCTGTTCCTGGGGCTTTCTACTAGAGCCTAGAGCTCACTTCTCCTCCTCTTCCTCTTCCTCCTCCTCAGGGTGGAGTCCATGTCCCTGTCTGAGAGAGGGAACCCTGGGAATATTTCTTCCCGCCTGCTGGAGAATGAGAAAGCCAGAGACTGCCTGATTCCTATGGGGTAAGTGTTCACAGGAAGCTGTGTATGTGCCCAGTCAGGGTTCTGCCTGTCCTCGACCAGACACCAGGAAATTTCTTATCTGGCTGGCAGTGCTTAGCTTCCTCTTCTTCCTCTGGCTGTCATATGCTCGGTAGGAACTGGATATGAGATTGATGCTGCCCTTGATTTCACTTTCCTGAGGCCTTCCATCCCTGCACACACACACACACACACACACACACACACACACACACACACACACACACATATTCACACCTCTCTGACTCCACAAATTTCCAAATGTAGCTCATTCTACATGACTGTGTCTCAGGGAAGGCAGCGGGAGCAGCCCCTAAAGCCTTGGGAGGCCTCAACATTTGTGGCCATGGGGGGCTTGGTTTCTTGTCCTTGCAGGGGAGGACTCAGGCCTGTGAGATACCTTGTGGGAAGTCTGTTCCATCTCCAGTGCTTTAATTCTGCAGCCTTGTCTGTGAGCTCTCCAAATTGTATTCAAGGGCAAGGGATTCTGGGAGGCTCAGTATATGAGAACTCTAGCCTGACCTGGCTTTCTCCACGTCCTGTATGTTTTTACGAGTAGCCTGGAAGCCACAGGAGAAACTGGGGCCATATGGTGTTCCCAGCATCCTCCTGCCCTGTCTTATGGGCAGAGATGACACACCTGGGGGACAATTCCTTCTGAAGGCCCCCATGTTCAGGCTGCTCTTCCCTCCTTGAGGTTCCTTCTGAAGGCCCCCATGTTCAGGCTGCTCTTCCCTCCTTGAGGTGTGAGTCTTTGAGCATCTGTGGACATGGGCGCTCAGTATTTATGATGAGCCGGGAGTCCCTGGGGCATGGGCTGGAAGCTCTGTCTCTGACATGGACACCCCCCGCCCAGGTGCAAGCATAGTCCTTCAGCGTGGCCCTGGCCCTCAGGCCAGCAGACCCACAGCCTCTGCTTTTCTGTGTATGCACTAGGATAACCTCGGAGAATGTGGCTGAGCGGTTTGGCATTTCACGGCAGAAGCAGGATGCCTTTGCGCTGGCCTCCCAGCAGAAGTGAGTGCAGGGTTGGGGGTTGGGGGACGGGCTGAGGGTGGGTCTGGAGATGGCCTGAGCTGAGGCTCTCACTGTGACCCTAAGGTGTTGACTAGCCTTGTGGCTCTAGCTGGGAGGTAGGAAGGTTCAGCAGCAGCAGTGTGGAGTGAGTCTTCCCAGTCTGCTTTAACTGGTCACTGAGATCCATCTCTCTAGGGAGTGAGTGGCCTCTCTCTAGCTGGGCCTCAGCTCCTCCTGTACTCTGCTTCTTGGGACACAAGAAGGAGGACCCAGTTCTGACCGGACATGGAGGTCACTGGTGATCCTTAGGCCTGGAGTGTGGGGTCATTGGTGCTAAGACCTAATCCTCCTATCATGAGAGGAAGACCTGGGTTTGGAATGGGGGCCTGAGGCCACCATTCAAGAAAACCAGAGCCTCGAGCCTGCGAGGAACAGAAGGGCAGGATGGCCACTCAGGTCGTGGATTGAGAACAAAGGGAGTGATAAAATGTAAGCCAGGTGGCTTCACCTTTTAGAGTTGGCCAGCTGTGTGTGTACGCTGGCAGCCGCGTGCTCCTGCCCAGGGGAGTGGCTCTGCCTACTTGTTTTGCTCATCCGACACGCTTTGTGTATCAACAGTGTGTGAACCAGAAAATACGTCCAGGCGGTGCACTTCGCTTTTAAATTTAAGATGGGGGAGCAGGTCAAACATGAGCCCTGAAGGATCAAACATACCCAAAGGTCCTGCCTCATTGTGGAAGAGACCATGGAGCAGGCTTAGCAGCCAGGGAGTAAGGGGCGGGGAGTCAGTAGCACCTCTGGACTCCCTGCTCTTGACTGGGATGAGCAGCTCCAAAGTGTGAAAATCAGGAGCTGATGAGTCCAGGAGAGCTTTGCGCACGCCTTTCCCTCCCTGAGAAAGGTAGTGTCTGAGGAATCTTAGCAGTCACTGAGAGCTCCAACAGAGTCAGAACAGTCCCTGGTGGCACAGCCTTCCTGAGTTAGCAAAGACCAGAGGCAGGCAGAAGACTACAAATGGGCCTGACTCTCGCTGTCCATGGTGCTGGCAGGGCAGCCAGCGCCCAGAGCAGAGGATGCTTCCATGCTGAGATTGTGCCTGTGACAACCACTGTCCTCGATGGTAAAGGTGACAAGAGAACCATCACCGTGTCTCAGGATGAGGGTGTCCGCCCCAGCACCATGCAGGGCCTGGCCAAGCTGAAGCCTGCCTTCAAGGATGGAGGCTCTACCACGGCTGGTGAGCGTGGGTCAGGAATAGGGCTGATTGCAGAGGCCTGTCCCACTCTGAGACCTGGAGCTGACCAGGCCCCCTGGGAAGGTGATGGTCGGGGGTCTGGCTCTCCTCAGCTCAGCCTGATGCCTCCTTGTCCCACCCTTCTTCCCCTAGGAAACTCCAGTCAGGTGAGTGATGGAGCAGCTGCCGTCCTGCTGGCCCGGAGGTCCAAGGCTGAAGAATTGGGCCTCCCCATCCTTGGGGTCCTGAGGTCCTATGCAGTGGTCGGGGTTCCTCCTGACATCATGGGCATCGGACCTGCCTATGCCATCCCTGAGGCCTTGCAGAAAGCAGGTGAGGTAGCTCCTTCTCGCTCTGGCCTTGGGTCCTTCATAACTTGTTTTTGGGACTGGGGAGTGCCAGGTTTGACCTGTGGGTACTGAAGATGGAGCAGGCTAGCACCCTACACCCATGGCCTGCTTGACCCTATAGCTAGCTGGGACTCACTCTCTTGTCCCTAAAAGATAAACATCAGACTCCTGGGACCTATGCTTGGGATAGGGTCCTGTGGAAAGTCCTGCCCAGTGTTTATTGTCAATATTGGTCTATATCTCTCCAACAGGGCTGACTGTGAATGACATAGACATCTTTGAGATCAATGAGGCCTTTGCCAGTCAGGTGAGCCTGGGTGATATGGTAGGATTGATTGGGCCAGCAGTTCAGAGCAGATGGGGACTTTGGCTCCTGCTCTGGCTCTTTCCAGGCCCTCTACTGTGTGGAGAAGCTAGGAATTCCTGCAGAGAAGGTGAACCCCCTGGGGGGTGCAATAGCCCTGGGCCACCCCCTGGGCTGCACGGGAGCAAGGCAGGTTGTTACACTGCTCAATGAGCTGAAACGCCGTGGCAGACGGTAAGGCTGCTCCCTGTGGGCTGTTGTGGGTGATATTTGAGCTGGGGTGTGTGATAGCTGGGGCTTGGGGAGGTGAGCACACACTCAGGTGTTCTGAACTGGGAATGGAGGGGTGACACCTGTCTTCCAGAAGCCTTGCTTCAAAAGCAGCATAACCAGGTGTCTGCCACCTGAGTGTGTGTCTGTCTGGGACTCAGTTCCCACAGGTCTGTTCTGCCGGCTTTGACTCTGCCCATGAGCCCTTGTTGCTGCAGCTCTGCCTGGTGGGAGCATGGGTTGGGGTCTGGCTGTGTGAGCCAACACTGGTTCTTTTCCTCAGGGCTTATGGCGTGGTGTCCATGTGCATTGGGACTGGGATGGGAGCTGCTGCCGTCTTTGAATACCCTGGGAACTGAGGCCTGGCTGCAGACTCTACCCAGAGAGTCCTCCAGTGGTGTCTGGAGAGGGACGCTACAGAAGCCATCTGTGTGAGACACTCAGCAGAGGAGGGGTGTGTCACAGCACTTTAATTTAGAAAATATAATTGCAATATGTGTACCAGTGAGCACAGGGCCATCTAATCTGGTCCTCTCAGCTGAACCAAAGACAGCTTACATCACGCTCGACCACGGGACAATATATATTTCTGTGGACAGTGGCCTCATGAGTGGCGGGTATGATGGGCACAGTAAACGTGTGTTATCTGATCTTGGTTGCCGTCATTTCATCCAGGGTCCCGCTCTTGCTTTGTTGGAATCCGTGGACCGTCTTTGTAGTGACTGTCATGGTTAATCTGCCTATGCTTGTCAGCCCTGAGACCTGTCACAAAGGGCCTGGCTCACACCACACCCTGGAAGGAGATCCCTCATCCCGGGAGGGCCTCCAGTACCGTAGCCTGTGTCCCTGTTCAGTAGCCCTGGCCCTCAACCCTGAGCCAGACTGATGTCCTCGGCTGGGGCTGGGCCTGAGGACCACAGAGCCTCAAAACTCGTGGAGTTTCACGTATCTCTCGTCATAAGAGCCTTGGCCCCGCAGCCTCAGGAGACAGGGCTTCTCGCTCAGCATACCCTCCACCACCAGTGTGGACTCGTACAGGAGGCTGCTCCTGAGGGAGGGGTGGGTGAGCTTGGGCGGTCCCAGCTGGTCCTCAGGCCCCGTGGGTGGTGCCCCAAGGCAGGAGGCAGCTCTTACCTTGGGTTGAAGAACACCTGAATCTGGGTGGAGGTTGGGGGTGCATTGGTGGCTCGGGCCTCCAGCAGTCCGCTGCCTGGGAAGACCCCGAATGCACGGTCCTCCCTGGCTGGTTCCTCCTGTCCTACACCATGAGGAAAGGATCAGACAAGCCTCTCAGGTGAACCTCTGGCACTGCCAGCAACCCAGGGCAGGTCAACCAGGAACTGGAGGCCAGGTGGACTCCAGAAGTGTCAGGTGCCACCAGCCCTAGAGAGTCAGACTACCTGGACAGGACTCAATGACCCCTTCTCAGGGTCTTGCTCAGTCCCATCAAGGAAGAGCAGTGTATGGGAGGGCCCGGCGTACCCATCAGCACCGTCCAGTAGCTCAGGCAGCTGCTGAGGTTCATCAGGTAGACCTCCCGAGCGTGCTGCTGGTTCACAAAACAGGTCCCGAAATCCACCCAGCTGGTGGAGAGCTGCAGGGCTGGCAGGGTCACAAAGGCTCGCAGGGGCACCTCCTGGGAGCCCAAGCCATTGACTCAGTGAAGGGTGAGGCCACAGAGCCCAAAGAGGTGGTGTTCTGAACTGGGGTCCTGAGACACGGGACCCCACCTCCCCCGAGTATGGATACTTCTGAACAGAGCTGGGGCAGCAGGGGGTTGGCACTGCCACCAAAGCCAGAGGGTCAGGTGGAATCCTGCATGGCTGGAAGGACACCCTCAGCGTCTCTGCCAGCCTCCTTCCCATGGAGCTGTGTGCTCGGCTCCCAGTCTCAATAGGTTAGTCAGCCATCTGACCTCCTTCCTTGTCTCCTTCCCCCTAGGGGGTCCAAGGCACACCCCTCAACTCATTGGACCCTGAGCCAAGTGGCCAGAGGCCCCTCAGGAGACCACGAGTCACTCGGGTACTGCCATGGGCGATTTCTCTTTGGCCCTGGCTGCTGCCCGGGTTTCTGGCTGCAGGGCTCCACTACTCTGTCAGACTCCTGGTCTTCCTGGCATCTCCTCCTCACCTGCCATCCCCAGCTAGACACTCTGACTCCCTCAGCCCCACACTGACCCGTGTGTGACCTGGTCAGTGCCGCTCAGTCTGACACCCAAAGCCCTACAGGAGCCGAGTAGTGTCCCTCACCTCTTCCTTGGGTGCTCATCATGCCTACCAATGAGGCCACACCTTGGGTCTCTCCATTTCCACTTGGTTAAACAGGAAGCAGGCTTCACCTGTCACCTCTTCTGGGGAGCACACTGGATTTCCCCCTCCCAGTCCCTTACCCTCGGGGCAGGGCGCTATCTTCCTCCCCAGGTGGCAGGGAGTGAGAGAGGCAGGGGCAGCCTAGAACATGCCTGAACGGTTTGGTTGGTGAAGCCCAGGAGCAGATTCTGGGTGAAAACCATCTTTCTCTCCCCATTCTCACTCTCCTGAATTTCCACTCCAGGCAACATCTGGTCTGCTGAGAGCTTCTGGTAGGACAGCAGTTCCAGGGATAGTGAGAAGGACACATCCACCTGCATGCATGTGGAGACAGGGTCACTCTGTTGCTCGAGCAGGTGTCTCTCTCCTACAGCCCCTGCTGGTCCAACCAGGACCTAGCTGTTCAGCCCTTAGCTTACAGAGCCTGTGGCGCCCAGAGTGGCTCAACTGCCCAGCTCACAGCTCAGCAGCGCCCCCTCGTGGAGCATTTGTCCCCATTGCCTGCACACACGGGCTGTGTGCCCAGTACCTGGTCAGCAGAGGTCAGCCTTCCTTATCCCCAGGCGGCTACCAGAGGGGACAGAGTAAGGAAACTGCCTTTTTCACTGAGCACGCCCTGGGCTGAGGTTGCGTGTATGTGCCAATGAAAAACTGTTTTTACTCCGAGGACATGAGGGCCCGTTAGGGTCTGAAATAGGCCATCCAAGGCAGCTTTTCACAGTGCCTCTGGCTGCTGTGGGGAGCTGGGCTGTGAAAACAGGACCTGGGCTGCAAATAGTACAGAGGAGACCTAAATAAAGTGGGCCTTGGGCTCCTGGCCATGAAGACAGCTCCGTGGTAGTGTATCAGAGTCAGCCGAGGCATTTGCTACATGACTTTCACATGGCAACGAGGCAGGCCTGGGAGCATGTGCCTGTTGCAAGTATTCTGAGGGCTGGTGTTCCCAGGCTTGGTGACCATTGTCTAGGGCCAGGAGGAGGTGCAGAGGCAGCACCGACAGGTCAGAGGTCACCCTTGGGGCTTAGTGGGTCATCGAGAGTTCAGAGCTCTGGCTGGCAGGAGAGGCTGCTATAATAAAATGTCACTGTATTGAGAAGGTGCCACATGATACAGGACATGGTGGCAGTGAATTCAGTTTGACAGGGTATGTTTAGGTCTAGAACTAAAAAAGTTCAGGTCGGGAGCCAGATGCCCATGTACCATCTGCCTGTGACCACAGAAGGGGGTGTGAGGCTACTATGGGATGTTACTTTTCTTGAGTATCTGGAGAGTCTCCTGGAAAGCTCTAGTGTAAGGACCTCCCTTCCCCTTAGCTCTCTTAGTGGGGAGCCCAGGCAGAGTGGTCAAGAGAGCTCTCTGCCATCTCGTGCAGCTCTGGCTCCCTGACCCCCGAAAGCAAGGCCTGGGAAGTCCCGCCAGACAACACATGCAGGCCCCCACTGCACACAGTGAAAGGCATGTCTGCAAGGGCATGGCCACTCAGTGATCCTGGAGACGGTGGACGAAATGAGCCAAGATATGCAGAGTAAGGCAGGCACTGGGGCAACTCCAAAACGCATCAACAGAAGGGGTGAGGGGCTGCGAGGAATGGAGGAAGAGGGCTTTGGAGGGGGGAGGTGGGGGTGGGAGAGGGAGGGTCTGCAACCAGAAGGAGGCAGAAGCTCATAGTCACTGTTAAGGCCCTGGCATCCCTAGGACAACACCACTTTTAAAACTCCAGTCTCGTACGTACCCTGTGCTCTGAGGGATTTACTTACGCTCATGGCAGTCCAGCTGTGGGTGGCCTCAAGCCATGGCGGATGGCTTTGAGCCAAAGGGCACATGAGAAGGGAGGGGACACAGTGTGAAGCAGAGGTGCTTGGTAGTGTGCACTGGCCTCTACCAGGCCGTCAGTGCTGGGGACATGGGGACACACTGGGGAGTCTGAATGTGTTTATGGGACTCGTGTGGCTATTTGGAGTCCTCCCATCTGTGTATAACCTGTGCAGAGGGACTTTGTAAGTTGAAAGAGACGTATCGGAGGGCATGCACCTGTGACTGTCCATTTGTACCTCGTGCCCAGATGTGAGCAGGATGTGCCTGTGTGTTGCCTGTAGGGGTGGGGAGGAGGGAGACGCTCCACCCCTGCACTGACCAGCATGTTCTCCTGTGGGCGGATCATCAGCTGCTGGCCTGTGGAGGCTGTCTCCTCGTCATACTGATGAGGGGCTCTGTTGTCCCAGATGGCCCCACCTTGAGAAACAGAGAAGGGCCTGGAGACCCTGGCCCGGAAGTGGTACAGGATTTCCGTGGTGTTGATCAGTTTCAGATGGCGGATGGTAAGCCAGTCACTCAGCACCTGGAGGCAACAGAGGTGCGGGGCCGGGGGTGTGTGTGTGGCCGGCATGGCATATCACATGACATCTCTCTTCCTACACCTGAGGCCCATGACTCTGGGAAAGGGACTCGGGACTTGAAAGGCCTGTACCCTGGAAGGACCCACAGGTACATGGGAGGTCCCTGTCCTTTGATTGGTTCAGGCTGACAGCATACTTACCCCATTGCAGGGATTTTGGGGAATGAGGTCACTGGCCTGGCACCAGAATTCCAAGTAGCCACTGCTGTCCAGCTCGGCATGCAGCCTGCCCAGTGACAGACACTGCTCAGGCCACCAGGATCTGGGCCCAACAGCGTCCCCTTCCTGGGCCTGTTGTCTCTGCCTCCCTCCTGTTCCTGTCCTTTGGCTCTGAGAACCGCACCAGGGAAATAAGTTTCTTCTGTCACAGAGGACAGGGGCAGGGGAGGGAGATCCAGTGGCCTTACTGTGCATGTCTCACGTGGGCATTCAGATCCAGTCTCAGGGGACCCACGGCAAAGTCCTGAAGGCGTCGCATTCGACCTGGAATCTGTCTGTCTGTCTGCGGAGGACAGTCCATCAGAGATCACTGCTGGTCCCTGGGCTGAGTGGGCAATGGGGCTCCCAGGGGAAAGGGGGTGGCCATGGTCCCCTCGGCCCAGGTGGGAAGGCTCACCTCCTTGTCCAAGCTCATGAAGCCCAGGGCATAGCCGGGATACCCCACCTTGTGCATAACACCCGGGGCGAGCACCGTGGGCGTGAAGGAGATGTAGATGGTTCTGTAGTCTCCAGCTGGGATGACCTGGCGGGAATACAGTAGCCTCATATTGCTGGCAGGCCAGGGCAGCTCCACGAGAGGGCTCCTAGCCCCACATACTCACCACCTGCTTGGGGCTGATGTGGTATATATGGCCGGAGGGCACCGCCTCATGCCCCTGCAGGATGACAGAGATGATCTGCTCTTCGGCCCTGGTGCCACCACTGCGGCTGCCCTGTTGCCAACAAGACCCTGTGGCTCACGTGGGCCCAGGGGACCTGGGCCACACCTCACCATGCCCTGTACTCTCGCTTACCAGTGAGGGGAGAGTGTAGCTAGACACTGACACATTGGAGGGACATGGGGACACTGCTAAGCTGGCCTCCGAGGTCTCGGGGTACACGATCTCATTCCCATCTTGATCCCGCAGTGGGAAGGGTGGCCCATAAAACACGAGCAGCTCCAGCAGCCGGTCCTCCTTTTCTTCTGGGATATAGGTCTCCCAATCTAGGCGGATGTCTGGGGCGGCCATGGAGGAGAAAGGAGAGTGGGTGGGCTCCTTCTGACCTCAACCTCCCTGTTCTCCCACGCTCATGGTGGAGAGGAGGGGTCCTCGCTATTTTTATGGTGCCGCCGCTGATTTAGAAAGAAGTTCATGGGGGATGGGAAGATGGCTCAGTTGATCAAGTGCTTGCTGTGTGTGCTGGCTAGGTGTTGTCAACCTGTCCCAGACTAGAGTTGCTTGGGAAGATGGGACCTCAGTTGAGAAGTTGCCTCCATCAGTCTGGCCTGTGGGCATGTCTATGGAACATTTTCTTAATTAATGTTTGAGGTGGGAGGTCCCAGCCCATTACGGGCAAGGCCATCTCTGGGCAGGTGGTTCTGGGTTGTGTAAGACTGCAAGCTGAGTTAGCTAAGGGGAGCAAGCTGGCAGGCAGCACTCCCCCATAGTCCCTACTTCAGTTCCTGCCTTCCCTTGATGATGGACTGTAAGCCAAATAAACCCTTCCTTCCCTAAGTTGATCTCCTTTTCATGGTGTTTTGTCACAGCAACAGGAAGCAGACTAGGACCCTGTGTACATGTGAGGAGTTTGAGCTACAAAGTCAGGTGTGGGTCCTGGCACTGGGGACCGCCTCACGATACACCCAAAGCCCTTGACCTTGTCTCTCCTGTCCATCACCTGGTGTCTGCTTCCTAGCAGGGTCACCAGGGACCATCATATCCTGAGTCTGGAGGACTAGGTCAGTGTGGAGAGAGCTTGAGTGAAGAGGAAACCACAAGGGAGAATGGAAGCCAGAGAGAGTCCCCAGAGGACAGCAAGGCTCGTGACACAGGTCTGTGGTCCCAGCTACTTGGGAAGAAGAGGCAGGAGGATCCCAAGCTCAAGTCTGTCCTAAGTGAGTTCAGGGGCAGCACTGGCAACTTAGTGAGACCGTGTCACTAAATGGAGAGAGAGGGAGAATGTTGGGGAGACTGTCATGGGCCTAACACTGGTCTAGCATGGGTGACACCCTCAGCTGACTTCTTACCACACAATCAACCACAAAACCCCACAGACAAGGTCCTTTTGGGATTTTCAAAAGCTTAGTGTCCTGTTGTTTACCAAAACCACACATAACAGGAGAGGACAGACTCCTGAAAATTGACCTCTGCCCTCCACACTCCTCTGTCACACATGACCCTCTTAATTTTAAAACTTAAAAACAAGTAAACAGTCTTTTTCCCTTCAGGTCCCAGGCGCTACGGGAGCTACCAGTTATGGTGCAGACATGGCCAAGTCCAAGAACACACCACATACAACCAGTCCCACAAACGACACAGAAATGGCATCAAGAAACCCTGGTCACAAAGATATGGATCTCTTAAGGGAGTTGACCCCAAGTTCCTGAGGAACATATGCTGTGCCAAGAAGCACAACAAGAAAGGCCTGAAGAAGATGCAGGCCAACAATGCAAAGGCAGTGAGTGAGTGCACTCGAAGAGGCCATCAAGGCCCTTGTGAAGCCTCAGGCCATCAGGTTCAAGATGCCAAAGTGCCCCAGCCGCAAACTCAGCCCCCTGGCTTTCATCGCTCACACCAAGCTTGGGAAGCTACATGGCCAAGGATCATAGGCTCTGCCAGCCAAAGCCCAAGGTTCGAACCAAGACAGAGGCCGCAGCTCCAGCTAAGGCCCAGGCTTCAGCTCCAGCCCAGACTCCCAAAGGTGCCCAGGCCCCTGTGAAGGCCCCATAGAAAAGGCTCCTGCCAACGTGAAGACAGATGAATTGCTGTGACACACCTACCCACACACTATTTGCAGAAGACTAGTGTCCTATGCTGTTTTTACAAATAAACTTAGGCAAGATCTGTTAAAAAACAACAACAAACAAATAAACAAAAATATCACATCAAGGTGTTATCGAGTTGGTGACACTAAGAGATACCCCAGGAAGCAGTGTTCATACTAGGCAAGGGAGGTCCTGAGAGTGACAGCCTTAAGGGGCCAACGGGGAACAGCCTAGGTGGGGACGAGAGAAGATGCTCACAAGTGCACCTAATAAAGCAGCTGAAAATACAACACGTGACTGTGGTGAGCTCCGGATTTCAAGACACAGTGACCGTGAAGACAGAGACACAGCTCCAGAAACATGCGGATGCCCCAAGTGAGGGGCAGATCCTAGAGCCCTGCTCCTCGCCTCTGGCTGTGCCTTCCACAGAATGGTCCAGGTTGTTTACACCTCTGGCTTCTGAGGAAACTCCTCAGAACTCTTCCTTAAATCATCAAATGCCCCCCTTCACCTCTCTGGCTTTACCCAGATGCAACGCAAGTTCCTTCACAATGAAGTCCAGAGGCTCTTCAGAGGCCCCCAGCACCTGGTCACGCTACCCTCAAAATGGAACCCCCCGGGTATGAGACCCTTTGTCTTCTTCTCTCAGAATCCCCAGCCCCTTATGTAGCAGCTGATGTGTGCATAGCTCAGATACTGTTGGCTGAAGGAATGAGAAGAGGGGCCCTTGGAAGTGTCTGTCCCTGGGGACAGTGTGACCCTGGTGATGGACTTAAGCAGGGATGAGTCCCATTCTCTAGGAGGGGGTCACCTCTCTTTCAACCCTGGCCTGGCATAGGTGTCACCTTTCTATTCAGGTTTGTCTCAAGAGCCACAGGCCACTTGGACCCTTGGGTCCTATTCATGGCTGTCAGCTCTCTCAAGGCATATTCTCCCCCTGTCAGACACACCCGCCTCGGCCATCATGTGGGCAGACTCACCACAGTGACTGGAGTTATATAGACGGAGAATTCTGGTGACTGTGTCTCCTCCAGAGATCTGGGTCCCAAACCTGGAGGCAAAGAGCAGCCTTAGCTAGCATACTCCTTACAGACTCTGTCACCTTGGGAGGTGGGGATGCTGGGTGGGACTCAGGCCAGAGAGGCATCAGCTATCTGTCCTTGTCCCAGTGACACCAAGACCCAGGGCTGCAGAGAGTCAGATGAAAGGGGTCACGTCACCCCTCTGCTCTGCCATTCTGCCCTGCTGGGGTCATCAGATAAATCCTAGTTTATCTGTGTCAGCCCTGGGGTCTGGTGCTGCCTTGGCTCGCTCCCTGCCTACCCACCTGTCCCAAAGCTCAGAGACACACAGATGTCAGCCCTGCCCCCTGAGGCTACTCTTCTCCAAGATGGGCAGCTGGAAAACCAGGAGCTGGCATAGGCAGCCCAGATTGGCACCCAGAGGGTTCTGGGGTGTGTGTGTGTGTGTGTTCATCAGGGATCAGAGACCAGGGCTGAGGTTGGGCACCTGGTGATAGGCTGCTTCTGGAATGGGGCCACACTGTAGCATGTATTCCTCAGGGAGCTGATAGGACAGCCCACCACGGCCATGTACACCGGGATGACAGTTACTGGCAGGTTTCCCACCTGCAAACACACAGCTTGTGGTGAGCAAGAGCCACTCCATTTCTGTCAGGCAAAGCTTCTACTTGCCCAACTAGCCCAGGGTCCCCAGGACTCAGTTCCTGCTGACTAGCCTCCCTCACTGTCCAGTTCCCAGGCTAGGCACCCCTAGCCTGGGCTACTTCACCACTAGTTCCTGACTCCCCTTCCTTTCCCTCACATCCCTGCTACCTCTACTAATCTACTAGCCTCTGGGCCTCTGCCCTCTTATAGTCTCTTTGTTCAAATTACTGCATCTTTTAGTTTGTTAAAGACTGTTTCTGTGTGACTAGACTAGCTAGCAAATGATGAATTGCAGAGACCTGGGTCAGAGTGAGGGGGCTGGGTAGATGTTCCTGCCTCCTTACTCCGTACTGTCCTTCCTAGCCTGCCCTGTACACACCCAGAAGGCGCTGTTACACAAGGGGGACTCTCCCATCTGAAGCATCTCAGCCTTGACCGCAGAAGCGGTGGCAGATGTGAGCGGGCAGCACCTGGCAGCAGCTGCGCCTGGAGAGGCCGAGGCCCACAGCTGGCCGAGAGGAGACTGGGAACGGTGTGCGCACACCCATATCCTCACCATGCAGAGGAGCTCATCCCAGTACTCGCCCCACATGTTGGCACAGGCTGTGATGTCAATACTCAGCTGCTGGTAGGCTCCCAGCATGCCCTGGGAGATGTGGGGAAAGAAAGCAGCTCCCTTCCTGTGAGATAACATGCTCTCCACAAAGTCTGGGGAGGACAGAGGATGGAGGGTCAGAGCCCTGGACTGCGAGAGAGTAAATCCTCAGGGGTTAGCAAAACTTGGCCTTGGTAGAGAGCCACTGTATAACCACTTCTCAGGCAGGCGGCCGGCTCAGGCTGGCCCTGCTTGCCCATGCTCTTGTATCTCCACTGAAGTCAAGCTGCCGCCGGCCCAAACCAAAATCATGTCCTATACACGACCCAGGCCCTGGCAGGGGAAAACTTTGCCATCTTTGGGGATTTTGCTGAGGGATACACTGAGAGGGAGTCTCTGGTCCCCCCTTCCCTCCTAGGGAGGCGCTGGCCCACATCCTCAGAAGGCCATGTCAAACCTGACTCTGCCCATGGCTTGGGCCTGACACTTGTCATGCTGGTGCCTCTTACCCAGCCTTTCCTTCTTGGCCAGGTGCTCCTGGATGCGTGCGGTCTTTAGCAGGGCAGGAGGTACATCAGGGCTTCACACAGAGAGAGAACAGTGTCAAAGTGGTCAGTCCCTCCCACACCCTGAGCCATAGCCTGTGGCAGCCTTCCAAGCCACATGATGGCCCAGTGAGGATACCCCACAGTATGCACCCTGGGAAATGCCCCAGGGAGAGATTGAGGCTCACACACTGGTCTTTTTGTCCAGGCTGTCCTGGGGGCTCCTGAAGTACTCAAATGTGAGGCTGAAAGGGGTCTGTATCGGGGAGCAGTTTGTCAGGATGATTTGGCGAATCACAGGAGTCCTCAGTGGCACCTTCGAGCCGAAGTGCAAGCGCAGCTCCTCCGGGGCACTGCTGGCAGAGGTGCTGTACCGTGCCATGAGCACCATGTTACCCTCCACCTTTGTTCCCGTTCAGAGAGCCACACCCGGTAGGGTGGGGGAGTAGTACTGAAACCCAACTTCATTCCCGAGTCCCTCCTCACGAAGCACTAGACCCAAGGTCCAAGCTTCTCGCCAATCCACGGTGCCAGAGGCACACTCAAACTGCACAAATCTCCCCAATGAAGTGAGAAAGGAATGCTTCCAAGTTGCTTGGCCCCATGTGGGAAAACCTGCAGAGGGTCCCTCTCATCTCCTGCCTCAGAGTGTGCATAGACACACCAAACAGGGTGGGGCAGAAGGGTTTCTGTAGAGAGAGTGAGGCCTGTGACAACTTGGGAGCCTTCACTATGCTATGGGAGTTCGCTCAGGAAGAGTCGGGGCTGGTACCATTGTGCAGTGCTGGCCTTCCATGTGGCTGCCCCTACCCTGGACTCACCTTCCATCAGATTCCACTACAGAGATGGAGATGGTCACCTGCAGTCCCAGGGGCTTCCCAGAGATGCCCAGGGCCAGTGGCTTCTCCATGCCAGACACGTGACAGGGGAGAATCAAGTCAGTCAGCTGTTCCTGCAGGAGGTTGATCCACAGGTCTGCTTCAGGGCTGAGGCCTCACAAGATGAGCCATGAGTAACTCAACATGAAGGCCTTGCCTTCTCCCTAAGAGTGGGCCTTCAGAGCCTTCAGTGAGCCATCCTGCCAGTCCAGACAAGCCCCTTAGAGGCTGACACATATATCATGGATATATATGTGTATCTGCCCTATATAATTGTATATAGCCACAGGAAGGTAGAATGGTTAATCTTTGTTGTCAACTTGAAGGGGTTCAAAATTACCATGGAAACATGTTTTAGCATGCCTGTGAAGGAGACAGGGTTAACCAAGGTGGGAAGATCCATCTGAAATGTGGGCATACCGTACCATGGGAGAAAGTCCTAGAATAACCTTAAAGACCTGAGCTGAACACCAGCATTCATCTCTGTCTGCTTCCTGTTTGCAGATGTCATGTGACTAGGCTCCCCACTGTGATGCCCTGTATCCTCAAACAATGAACAACGGAAATAGCCTTCTCCTTCCTTAAGCTGCTTTTGTAACAACGGGCGGGAGAAGTAACTAAAGCAGGAGGGTCCACAGAGTGGCTCCCAGAGGAGAGCAAAGAGCAGTCCGTGCTCTTTGATGGGCAGCAGGAAGGTGTTCCATGCTAGGCCTGGGCCTATGTGTCTGGCATGCTGGTACCCAGGCTCAGCTGTGTAAGAAAGCCCATTGGCCTCACGTCTGCCATTGAGGAGCAAGGAGTTGGACCTTTAAGTCTCTGAAAGTTGGCTTCTGACCCCCACATGCAGTGGTATGTGTGCACACACTCTTGCATGCACACCCACAACAAACAAAGAAACAAAATGATAAAAAGAAAAAGAAAGAGAAAAGAAACCCTTCATTTTGAAGGAGTTGAGGATGCGTCTCTTCCCAGAAGATACGAAAAGAGATGGCCAACAACACCCAAGCACTGAACATGTCCCATTGTGATGGCATCCCTCTGGGACACTCCAGGGACAATCCGAGCCTCTCCTATATAGATGCTAGCCACCTGTTGGCCTCCCCTGTAGCACCCAGAACAGTGCCTCCCTTGAACAACGGCTTTACCCTGGGGAAAGCTGGACAACTGGGCTATCTGAGGTCACAGAGAGTTGCCTAGAGAAAGGCAGAGGAAGTGACAATGTGGTCAGTTGGGGCACATCTGAGCCTCCACTGGGCTCTCTACCCTTGTAGCCTCAGACAGTGGGTCCAGAGTGAAAGGAAGTACATTAAATGACCTGCCCACTCCTGAGGAGCAGGAGCAGGGTGTGCGATAGGCCTCCCAGGAAGCACAGGTACCAACAGTTAGGGTACCTTTCAGACACTAGAAACTCCTAGGCTGCCTTACTCACCTCTGTGTGGGCTGTCAACTCCAAGTTGAGCTGGAGCTCTTCACTGGGACCCAGTAGGCCACGTTTGGGAGAGACTGTCATTTTGCACAAGTCTGCTTGGGCCCCCAGGAGCTGGAAGACACAGGACAGGCTTATTGTCTTGTGAGGCTACCAGATAGAGTAGGGTCTACACAGACTGCTAACCCAGCAAGCTGGACAGGGCTGAGCACTTCAAGAAGGAGGAGGAGGAGGAGGAGGAGGAGGAGGAGGAGGAGGAGGAGGACAACAACAACAACCGTCACACAGAGCCTTCTCTCCTCCCAAGCCTGGGTAGACTCATTGTACACCATGGATTTTCCTGGACAAACTGAGCAGCCCACTGTGTTGGACAGCAGAAGGCAAGCTACCTTTGAGGTTTCTCTCATGGTGCTCAGAGTAAGTTCCAGTGTCAACCACAGGGACATTGCTATGAGCAGGCTCCTAACAGCTGTGTGGACCAGCTGGAGGTCCCAGCTATGTTCACCAGGGAACTAGAATTTCTTAAAGATGGGACCATGAAAGGTCAGGCGAGAGGAACTGCTCGTTAACGACCCACACTTTGCTGTGGACGGTGAACAGAGCAACCGGCTTTGGGAGGGAAGGAGGCTGAACATTTATTCTGGAGGGTGGCCATTCAAGGGGCGGGGCCACACACATCTCAGCTGCTGCTCCTCCCAGCTCAGTCACCTTGCCCCAGTGGAACCGGGTAGGCAGGAGTGTGCCGTTGACAAGCATGGTCCTTGACTTGGTGGGCACACCCAGGTAGAGGTTGCTGAACTCAATGTGGCTGCTCTGCAGGTACACGTGAGGCTGCTGCACCTCAGCATACACTGGAAGGTAGCTGAAACACCAGAAAGCATACAGCATGTGGATCAGAAAGGGGAAAAACAAAACTCTCCCAATTTATAAAACGGCATGAGGCTGCCTTTGCAGAAAGCCCTGGGGAATCTATTAATATAACAGAAAGCAAAAGAAACAAAGAAAAGCCAAACCAAACCACCACAACCAACAACAAAACAGGGTTTGCGTGCACATTTCACAATCCCAGAGGCAGAGACAGGTGGATCACTGTGAGTTCACAGGCAGCCAGTATATGAGGAGTTTCAGGCCAACTGGGGCTGCACAGTGAGACCCTGGCTACAGAAAACCAATCGCAAAAACAAACAAACAAACAAACAAACAAACAAAACTTCTAAAACCAAGTTTGTCATAGCTGCAGCAAAAATATAAAATTGTCAGTCAAAACATAACCATATTCTTACACTTTAAAATGAGCACATAGAAACAAAATGTTTAAATTTTAAATCGCTCAAAGTTGAAACATGAGAAATTTTAGGATACTCTGGGCTTATTTCAGAATGGCTACTCACTTCTTCCTGTTCCTAATCAAAGGAAAAAATTCTTCTGTCATTATCACAAGAGTCTAGGCACTCCTGTCCTAGTTAGCTTTAAGTGTCAATTAGGTATGGCCTAGTCACCTGGGAAGGGAGTCGCAGTTGAGGGACTGTCCAGATCAGGTTGGCCCTGTGGGTGTTGTCTAGGGGGGATTGTCTGAACTGTAACTGAAGCAGGAGGGCTCTGCCCACTGTGGGCGGCACCATTCCCTAAGCAGGTGGTCCTGAGCTATATATAAAGTTTGCTGAGCATAAGCCTGAGGGAGCCAGTCAAGTTCCTCCATGATTCCTGCTGCTCCTTTCTGCCAGACTTCCCTCAGCAATGTACTATGACCTGGAAGTGTAAGCAAAATGAATCCTTTCTCTAAGCTGCTTCTGGTCAGAGTGTTTTTTCACAACAGAATGTGAACTCCAAGAGCTCCCAAAAGTCTTGGGTCTTAATTCCAATCAATATTCAGCCTTCAGAATTTGTTGAAGCTCTTGAGTATTCCTTCCATGACTGGCTCCAACTGCTTCTGCTTCAGGGAAACTGACCTGTTTTCTATATTTGACTGTTTTCCTGGGATTTGGGTGGTACTCTGTGCCACATTCTCCGATCACTGATGGACATAAAGAGGTTTGCTTTTGTTTGCTCTTCCCCCCCCCCTTGTCGTGAGGCAGGAGCTTGATGGGCAAGTGTTCTGTGTGTCGTGGCTGGAGGCATTTTGTAGTATGATTAACATTTGTGATGAGCTGATTCGGTAAGCAAAGGCAATTATCCTAGAGTGTGGGAAGCTATCCTTATCACATCATTGCCATTAACAAGTCTGTGCGCATGCGCTGGAAGGTTTTCCCGCCTTGATTAATCTGACAGTTGGAACACGTCATGTGGCCTGAGGCAACAGGAGCCCATCAGAGACTGCCACGTCCCAGGCAAGCTTAGCTCTCTATATAAGGGAAGGGTTTTAGGCCCTTGGGGTCCCTCCTCGTTTGTGAAGCTTATGCTCTCCCTCTCAAGATGCATTAAAGCTTATACTGCAGAAGGATCCTGAGTGTGCCGCGTCTTTCCTGCTGGCGGGAGATTGCGCGGAACACTAGAGGGTCCAGATGGTTCTGTCACTAAGCTGAGAGGCCTTAAAAC